TTCTTGATTGACATATTTTTACATTATTTAAGCATCCTCATTTGTAATATCATCATGGAGTGTATTATAAACTCTGTGATGATTAGAAAATACTTAGTTTTCTCTAGCTTTTATTTTCTTCATGCTTGTTAGGTAGCAGAAGTTAGGTACTTCATTAGGATTAGTAAGGTAAGGCCTAGCCCCCCTTGCTTGTACTTGTCCCTATTGATATTTTTTATGTTTAATAAAAGACCGCTAGACACTGTCTAATGGTAAAAAAAAAAATAAAAAAAAAAAAAAAAATATTCGTCATGACCATCTCCAAAAGTTGTATCTACCAATTGCGCAAAATTTAAACCTAGTTCAAGGACGAAAAATGGTACATCCTTATGAAAAAGGAATTCCTTATTTATATCCTTCCATGCATTCGTGACCATCTTCCGAATCTCAACATGCGCCTCCTCCTTTGAAACTTCATATTCTTTTATGTAGCAGTCAACAATTGAAGCAACATGTCCTCTTTGTTGATTAACCTACGAATAACAATACAAATATTCAATACAACATCTATATAATTGCTTTTAATTTTGTATGTTACATTGTGTTATACTTACTTCATGATCAGAAATATCATCCATACATCGACAGATTGCTCCAGCAGAACGTGCAACCAAAAGCCCATTTGTTAGCCACTCAATATTCTCTTTGGTCATATACAATTTGTCCATGCCAACCAAGGAATTTGTTACATAAAGCATACATGTAGCTGTTATTACTGCATTTTTCATATATTCATCACATTTTGGAATATAACCAGCATTCAACCAATCACTTTCCTTCATATAGGCAGCCGTCAATTTTTTCCACTACAACAAAATACCAAACATTGAAATCATTATAAAATCCTAATCTAGCTAGATCATAATAATAGGAGAAACTACTTAATTAGACGGTCTTCACTATCAAATTTTATACTATTATTACTTATACATTTAAAATACTACGTATTTTACCACTAATTAAGAGTTTTCTATCATATATTGAGGAAGATACACTTAGAAACATGTACTTTTGCTACCTGATACAATATAATAGGTCGAGAGGCGAGCGAGATGGGGGAGGGAGGCGAGCGAGATTTGTATACATGTGAATCACACTAGATACATGAATATGTATGTATATCGTGTGATTCACATGTATCTTGGATACTAGATACATAGGAGAGTGGCAAGCGAGATGGATAGAGGCGAGGGAGGCGAGCGAGATTTGTTATGTATCCCAAATATATGTGAATCAAATTGAATACAATGTATCTAGTACAAATTACACCTAATTTTGAGCTCATGTATCCTGAGATACATATATCTAGGCATATCTGAACGTATCAGGGTGCATCAAAATCTAGTAAGACATGTAATATTGCAAACTAGAGTGTATCTAAGTAATTAGCTCCTAAACGAGTGCGATTTATGTAAGTTCCCTACTAATAATTGTTCATATTCAAATCAACTGCACTACTCAATCCTTATATGTGCTGTGCAATTTGGTGAATGCATCTCAGTTTGCACAATTTATTAGCTAATAGAATAGACTATAGAATATATTGATTGATATAGTAAGGTGTTGTTTTTATTGAACTTAGTATTAGGTGGATGGTCTTATGTCTAATTGGTAGGGACAAATATAGGTATCAAGATCCCAGATTCGAAATTCAATTCATAATCTAAAAATTCAAACAAAAAAATCTAGAAAGTTCAAATTTCAAGTTGGATTTTTGGATTTTCCCAAACTATGCCCCAACACTAACACCATATCTTCCTTTTGATTCAAATGTCAACAATTTCTTTTTTAACCTATAGTTAGATGTAGCTTAAGCAAGAATAGACTAAGTTGGATTTTGGATTTTCCCAAACTATACCTCATTTTTTGCATAGTAGATTACGCTATTCGATTTGCCTTCTTTGGCCAATACTTCTTCTGCTTCATCGTAGATATTGAGAAGTTCTTGATAAATAATTCTCATATATGGTGGTAATGAATCCATAACACTTATGTCCCATCTGCACTTGACAGTTGAATTTGTTGGGATCGAAATAATATCAAGAGCAACATGTGAAAGGTAATTATAATTGCAAGCTATTGCAGTGATAAATAAGATGATTTAGAAAAATATACTAAAATAATCCTAACACATAATGATATATTATTGATCAAACGACCTACGTATTAAAAACTAAATAGGTTACCTCTCAATTGCATTAGTAAGAAACACAAGTTCATCATGGGTTCCATAAGCATCGTAAGTATCATCAACAATAGAGTTCATGTTGACTACTTTTGTTAACATTCTTCTCAATCGACTATATTGGGGCTCAACAGACAATCCAATTATCCAAAAGTAACTCTCCACAAATCTGTCTTTTGCATATGGTAATTTGTTTGCAATATCCAAATCTTTCCACCACCTACGTACATATATATATATATAGTGATCGAGACCATTATTAATATCATAGTACATACATTTATCGCGTATTCATTTAATTAGGAAGGGGATATAACATGAATGAATATATACATACCTTGATATCTCGTTAAGCTCGTCTTGATGCACCTTTTGCAACATGTTAAAATCCAATTTCGCGAATTTCAATAGTAAATCGTTATGTGATTTGATGTTTTCATAAATGTGTATGTATTTTCTTGCTCCTACCCTTGGTACTGTTTCATGAATAGGCTGACTTAACGCTTCAGTAACTTGAATCTTAAGTGAGTTATTGGTCAAGTTGGGGAGTAGGGACTCGAGACGAGTGGTGGTAAAGATAAGAGCTTCCTCAAGAATCTCCTCATCGTGCATTCTCATATGTGATGCTTCATACAAACTCAATAATCCTTGGACATCATAATTAATAAGTGTTTCCTTGAAATTTCCGTTATGATCCATGAATTGCTTGAACACATCTGGTTAAATCATCATGTTTATGTTAATTTTGACCTAAAAAAACTTTGCAATAGGATGCATGATTAATAAAATAAAAGAAAATAAAACATTGACCCGTCTACGTGTGTATAAAATTTTTTAGAATGTAATTTTAATCTATAATCTATCACATCAACTCTGAATCTAACGAGCAAATTCATACAAGCACTTTTCCAAATTTAATAAATTGTGCAAAAGTACAGTCTGTATAAACTTTATATTTAAAATTAATATATAGCAAAATCTAGTTTGTTTATTTATTTCTGTTTGGTAATTTCCATAGTTTTTCACTAATCCATCAACATGTTTTCTCATCAACAATTTCCACACCCTGCCAATAAAGTTATATGTTTCCACTTTTATCGTTGTTGACAATAAAGTTTTTTTTAATAAAAAAAAATCATAATTGTGGGGATTAGGCACTACTTAATTTATGTATTGATTATAACAAAAATACATATTCGATGGATTGGATATTTGTCTAATCACTAGGTTACCTGAAGGATAAAACTTTCATCCTTATACTAATCGTTAAAGAACAAAATATGAAGTATATGCTTACTTGAATTACTCCTCCTGTCCTATCTCATGTGACGCTATTTAACTTGTCATGATATTTATGGTAAAAATAAAGATTTTTAAAATTTAAGGTCTAAAATAATCCTTAGATATTTGTCTGACTATAAATCATTTCATTAATGTAAAAAGAAATTTTTAAATTTAGTTATTTTCAATTATAGTAATTTAACATTTTTTTAGGACGAACTAAAAAGAAAAAGATGCCACATCAAATAAGACGAAGCGAGTACGAATTTCTTGCCCTTGGTAGTAGCCTATAGTGGTCAATAAAATAATTTATAAATCATGAAGCCTCATATTCAAATCCTAACGGAAGCAACATATAATAGGAAATTTCTTCAATTTCATCTATCTAAATCTTGATAAACAAAATTATGATGGGAAAAGCAGGTACCACGTGAAATTAGTATCTGAAGCTCTTTACAAATTTTAAGTTCTTCCAAAGTATTTTGCCTTTAATTACCAGCTAGTACATGAGTGTAAGGTAAGAGTTACAATTAGATAGAAAAGCTAATGGGCCAAAAAGTAAGTAAAGAAAAGGAAAAACAACGAAGAAGTTGCAGAATATATATATATATAAAAGTTACCAGAAGAGATGTAATGGCGTTGTTGCCTCAGTAGTCGAAAACGAAGAGCAACAACGTGAAGATTGTCATCATTAGTCTCACTCTGTAGTTGAGAATCAAAAATGTTTTTAATGGATATTTCGATTTCATTATGAAAATGATATGCTACTCCCAATCGTTGAATTCTGTCTATCAACACAAGTTTTTGTGTACTATTGTCAGGAGTTTCCACCAACGTTTTCCTGATCATCACTTTTAATTCATCAACTTCAACTTTCTCTTGGCTACTAATTTCCTGCGGATGGATAAATAATCATTTTCATTAATTAAACGATACAACTCAAATGTATTTTAAGAAGAGAAGGCGCAGCGCGGCGCGTTTACTGTTTGTTGAGGAGTGTAGGAGAGAAAATGGTCTCCCCAAAGTGTTGGTTCAAAATCAGCCAAATGACGTGAAGGATCCATTGCTTGGCTCCTTAATTTTGTTCTTCTGGAACACAAATTTGGCCAAAGACGAAAGCTTAGATAATTTGCTTGATAAGTATTAATATTAGTATTGTATGTCCTCCTTCCAATAATAGTTGATTGAGAACTTGGAAAGATTGCTGCTACAGCCTACAGAAAACATTCTGATTCCTTTACACAAATTTGCCAGTTTTGCAGCTATTAATACTTACTGTACTTTAGATTATACTGAAAATAATTGTGCAAGTGCTCACAACAACGTGTGGGTTCGTGGGTTTTTTTTACAGAGTAAATTTCGTATTTGTATTGGAAAATTAAATAAATATATATATGTATATTAATATGTGAACCAGAGGCGTATTCAAGATTTATAGATAATGGGTGCACTATTACAAAAAGGTGGATCTAAGACATAAATTTGATTGGTTAGATTCTTTTTACTGAAAATCATTAAAATTTTAAAATCATAGGTCCAAAATTAACTTTTATTTATCCAAACCAGTTACAAAATCTTAGAAAGAAAACTAAAACAAGATAGATAAAAGATTCAAATTTCTAATTTCATCTAGAGAGGTGCACCCAATCATCATCGTACTACATTATATGATACTTCGAATCTGGGTTCACGCATCTATATTTAAATATTTTTAAAAATATAACACTACTATATATGATTTCGGGAGGGGACCATGGGTTCACGTGAACCCGGTTACCCCCTCCTGTATACGCCCCTGATGTGAACCCTTAACAAAATTGATTGACAACTCAATAATAAGAAAGGGTGGTGGAAATGACTTTCACACTCATGTTTTGCAATATTTTTCTGATCTGTCCTAAATTTAGAATCCCAAACTCCTAATCTTAATGCATCTGGCTTAAAAAAAAAAACAGGGCAAACTGATTGCCTTTTAAAAAAAATGTATTTATTTCATGTAATGCTTGATGAGGTATTTTAGTGAGGAATGACATTGAGATGACCCTCTTATCTCTTCAATTCAAAATAAATGAATATTTGTTTTTTAAGAAAGATAATCAATTGTACTAATTGAATGATTACTGTTTGAAAATATTTTTCTTTTTTACTTTAATTTCCTCAAGATTTTTTTCAAAGTAGGAATAAGTAGTGTTGAATTTGAAAATTCAATTAGAGAGAGGGTAACTTTAGAGCTTTGAAAAAAACATTCATTTTGATTTGAACTAAAGAAAAGTACTAGAAATTCCCTTATTTTGGATTGGATGGTGTATTTAATTATAAAAAATGTCATATTTATCTTTATATTCTCACAAAAATAAAATATATTAATCCTTCGATATACTATTTAAAATAATATTGGCTAAGTAAAGTCTTACACACTATTCCACTAACAAAGACATGTTAATTTGGTCCTTTTATTTGCACTTCTTTATTCATTTTATACTTTGTGTTTCATTCTTCTGTGCCAATTTCAAAATAAATATTTTATCCGAGAAAACATTGGAACTTTGGGTGGTTCGACACAGAGAAAAATGATTTTATCAGAGAATAAGTGAGTTTTTCTTATTTATTATTTTATATTCTGTATATAAGTAAAAAATACTATTGTAAAAAATTTGTATATAATCTAGACATACTATGAGAAGGGGAGGTGGGGTAAAGATAATGTGTCTTTGAGAGTAGGAAGGACACCGTCAAAATGGAAGGTCACTTGTGAAACTTATTTCTCTACTTCTGTTAAGGAAATGATTTCTCATTTTAAGAAATTTATTTTTTTTAGAATAAATATTTTTCAAAAGTTTTGATCAAAATCAAATGAGAAAATTTAGAAAATATTTTCCGACGTACCAGAAACACCCTTAGAAATTACTATATACAAATTGATCAGTTTTCAGGGAGTAAAGGTTCCTTATTTTTTATTTTATTTTTGATAAAATGCAACTGCCTAACATTAAGATGCGACTCTTAAGTAGTGTTTTAAAAGGCCGGAACGTGAGACGAGGCGTTTTACTTAGTATAATGTGAGGCGTAAGCCTCGAGACGTATGGTGTAAGCCCTTGGATCTTTCAATTTTTAATTTATAATATACTATTATAATATAATAACACAAAATTATAAAAATACATCAATGTTTGAAATGATTACAAACATGATTAAGGAAACTCATAGAAAATAAAACTTCTAACATGATTAATATATAAGTATAAATAATCTAATATCTTAACTTTCTAATAATAAAAGAATCATTATTTTAAAATATATTATTATTATTATTATTATTATTATTATACTATACAATATACCCTCCTAAAAGAAATAATCAATAAAACTTACTAGTATTATAATAAAAGCATCACTCCATCATGAATAAAAATAAAAATTAACTTTCAAATAGCTAAATAAATATGATAATTTTGAGACATGTGACAACAACATGAAGACCAATGATAAGTGAAAAAGTAAAATTTCACTATGTATTTTTAAGAGAAATGTTACGTAATATATAATAACCCTCTCACAGTGTTACGAAATAGTAAAGATGTGATACTAAAACTTGTTATTTGAGTTACTCTCAATATTTTTAATTCTATGGATTAAAAACTATTAAGTATCATTCATTTATTCAAGAATTATGAGGGTCAACAATGTCAGCTAAAGAATTTAATACATAATTTGTGTAAGATCTGTTAGGCAAGCCTTGAGCGTTGGGCATGCTTAGGACGTACAGTCGAGCGCTTAGGGAGTAAGTCTTACCGAACTAAGCCCCACACTTGAGTCTTGGGACATTTTGCTAGAGCCCCGCCTCAAGGCGAGTTCCAACAGTCTTTTATAACACTGCTCCCAAGTAAATGGAAAACTACCTTATTAGACATATCTTCATATCATATATACTAATTCTACTCATACTTTAAAAAAAATATGTATCTTACGAACTAATTAAGAGTTTTCTACCATATATTGAAAATATGCACCTATATACATGTATTTTTTCTACCAAATACATTAAAATAGGGAGGGAAGCAAGCGAGATAGCTATGTATCCTAAATACATGTGAATCACACTAATACATGTATCTGTATGTATCAGGTGTGACATATACATAGAAGAGTGACGAGCAAGATGGAAGGAAGGCGAGTGAGGCTACCGAAATATGTCTATGTATCTCAGATACATGTAAATCCACTTGAATACCGTGTATGTAGAAAAACTAATATGCATATTCTCAAAATATATCTTCTTCGATTTATACATATTGATACAATCAAATTATATTAGGGATAAAAATTATATTTGTGTATAAAAAAATAATACATCTATCAAGCTATATCTATGTATCGAAAAAAATTGATACAACTATTATCAGAAAAATTGTATCCGTATACTTATTTTAGCGGTGATACAATACTCAAATATTGTATCAATGTTTTTTGCCATTCATGAATCACAAAATATTGATACATATTGTATGTGTGTATTTATTTTAGGAGTGATAAAGTGTGATATGTTATTTGTGTATATGTGTATGAGATTAAAAGAGAGAGAACAAAGGCGGACAATATTTGAGATCAGAGGAAGAGGAGGTTGTGTATATGTGGATATGTGTATCTGTTATCTATGTATCACAATTTCAATTGAGATATAAATTGGATTTGAGATACAATTTGTTTGCCTCTCTCCTCTCTGAACTTGTTGCTATGAATAGCAATTAGGAAAACTGTAGTTACAATTCATAATTATGATCCAAACTATATTTATTTATAAAAAAAGAATAAATTTTAGGTTTAGCAAACATAAAAATCATATTTGTATGATATAGCTATAATTTGTATAATTGCGTTCCATAACAAACTTTGTTATGGCTATTAATTTGTATATTTCAATATACATATACATAAAAATCTGTATTTGTATATTTCGGTATAATTATACATAAAAATTTGTAATGTATATCTACCGTATTTTTGTATATATGTTTTTTTGTTGTGATTTTCAATCGTATATGTATATGTGTATTATATGTATTTAAATATAAATATGTATATGTATATGTATATGTAACTATTTTTTTGTATACAGATAGATTTGTATACAAATCTCTCTCTCGCTTTATACAAGCACAAATTATACATTGTATTTTGTATAATTTGTTTTTGTATAAAGTGATAAAGAGAGAAAGACAAAAGAGAACTGAACAGGGAAAAAATTGTATTGTATAATTATAAGTGTATAGGACGAAGACATATGTATTTGCATGTGTATATATAATTTTTTCTCGCTTTATACAAACAGAAACACAGTTTATACATTTGTGTTTGTATAAAGTGAGAGAGACGAGGGAGAGTGGCGAACGAGATTAGCTGGGGAGAGGGGCGAGTGGCAAACTATTTGCTACAAATTAGAATTAAATGAAACTATGGTATAGTATTTAATTTAAATTAATAGTTTGTTATTTTGTACAATTTTCCCTATAAAAAAATCTCTACAAATAAAAGGTCATTGATAAATATTTTGAATTTAAAAGTATTCTGTTGTTTTCCCCAAAAAAAAAGATCCGGCCCAACAAATGGCCCAAATCTCAGACATAAAACAACAAAACAAAATAGAGCCAACGGGAAAAACAAAGGGAAAATTGTATATAATAGCAAACTATTAATTCAAATTAAATGTTATAAACATAGTTTGATTTAATTGTACTTCATAGCAAACTGTTGCTATTTCGCCTCTCTCCTGGTGAATCTCGCTCGCCACTCTCGTTCTCTCCCTCGCCTCTCTCGCTTTTACACAAATGCAAATGTATAAAATGTGTTCGTGTTTGTGTTTGTATAAAGCGAGAGAAAATTGTATATATACATATATTTTCATTTTCCTCTCTCCCGTCTCCCAGATCTCACTCAATACAAATATGATTTTTGTGTTTGCTATATGTGAAAGTTGCTCAAAAACAAAAGGGAAATGAAGAAGCTATTAATTATTTTTTCTAAAGTTATCTCTATTTAAATAAATGAATTATTTTATAACTAAGAAGTTATATTTAATTAATACTATATAATTAAAGATAATTTAGTGAAAACTCTTTCTACTTTTTCGATGTTAGTGATTTTATAAGAAATGTGATCAAGCAAAAAGTATTATAACAAATATGCATAGGAGCAAATATATTT